ATCTCCTAAACTTGGCCCAGGGAAAGGGTAAGTGCCTCTTTAAACAATATAAAAAAAATTTAGACAGAAATAAATTAAACATAATAGATTAAATGTATTATTTGCAATTTTTTTTTGTGTATTTTTGATTATTACAAAAATGACAAGTAAGTGTGTCAGTAAGTGTGAAGTTTTTTTCCCTCGTCAGGCACCAAGGTTTTGGGGTTCTGTCAGTCATTCTGGCCAATCATTCAATCAAGCTGCTCACGTCACTGTTCCAGGACTTACAAGTGGAGGCTCTTCACAGAGTAAGACCGAACACAACTGTCTCTTTTAAACTACCAGAGCATTTTTATGTTGTAAATACGAGTGAAGCTGTTTTCTGTCTTTCAGGGCTGGGCCAGTGACGGGCCCCCAGCAGAGCTGAACATCATGGCCCAGAGCACGTCCATACAGAGAGTGCAGAGACTCATTGACTCTGTCCCTCTCACCAACCTACTCTTCACGCTGCTCTCCACCTCCTATAAAAAGGTATGTGACCACAAGACTCGATCATGGTTGCTATGAGGAAGCGGTCTGTTGTGTTTGATGAATGTGGTGCCTCTGGTTCTGCTTGATTCAGGCGTGTGTGCTGCAGCGGCAGAGGAAAGGTTCGGTCAGCAGTGACGCCAGTGCCTCCACTGACTCCAACACTTACTACGAAGATGACTTCAGCAGCACAGAAGAGGACAGCAGTCAAGGTAGCGAACGCTGCAGATTTCTCAATATTTAACCTTGTAAATAAAGCCCACAGTGAGGTCAGACATTGAAGTTGATTTAGTTCATATATACAGAGTAGTTGCTTTTACCAGTAAATTTTCCCATTAGATTGATGTCTAGCTGGGTGAATCTCAGAAAAAATGTCCAAGTTATATTTCAGAATCAAACAGAAAAATTATATATTTTGCAAAAAAAGAAGCATATTTTTGGACTTTTCTCATAAATTTTTTTTTTTGTTTTGCACAATTTTTCCTTTTTATTATTTTTTTTTTTTTACCCCTGAAGAGCTAAACTATATACACGAACTTCACAGTGAATTAGAAATTAATTAATGATTTGTTTTTTTCATTACAGTAGGCTGCTGACCATAGTGAAGGTATGATTTGTTTCATTACAGTAGGCTGCTGACCATAGTGAAGGTTTTATTTAAATATGCTTATTTTGATGACAGTTTCTTGACTATTTTATTTTATTAAATGCACATTGTTTCATTGTTATTTATTTATTTTTTAACTTTTTTTTTAACTACATTTAGAAAAAACTTTCTAAATGTAGTTTACCATTAAAAAATATGCATTACTGTAATG